GCTGAAGAAGTTTGGGTTTGGGATGGAGCTCAGGAATGGGGCAGGGATTAGGATGCAGGGTAACCTGTGGGGAAAGCATGTCCCTGCAGCTCCTAGGCCGAAGCATGGCCAGTGGGATCTGAGTGCTGACCCTGTTGCAGGAATTGCCCCCACAGCTTCCACTGGCTATAGGTCCTAGTCACTGGGAGCTGAAGAATTAGAGCTTATGGAAGAGGCAGCACACAGAGGAACCCCCCAAGCCTTCCCACCCCTTCGGAGCCATAGGGACATGCCAGCAACTTCCACGGAGTTGTGCAGAGCTGGATTGGAGCAGGTGCTTGGCAACTCCACCAATCATCCCTCCTGGCACCAATGGGGGTCCCGAGCTGTACACTACTGCACTGCCCCCAGAGCAGCAGAGAGTCCCAGGCTGCATGCCATTGCACAGCCCCTCGCACCCTCACCAGCAGGGATCCTAGGCTACCTCCCACCCTGAGCAGGAATAGTCTCCTAGGAATGCTCTCCCACAGAGTACCTGCAGCTCCCTCTCCCTCCCCGGCCCAAGGTTTAGTATGGGTATGCAGTATAATTGATGGACAGATCCAAGAAGTTTTAATTACTGCCCATGACCAGTCGTTAACTTTTACTAGAAACACTTGTGACTAAAACCAAGTCTTAGTGATTAGTTCTTATTTAATAGTACAAGGCAGAAGAAGTAGATGGGACATTGGAGTAAGCCCCATAACTCAAGAATCCAAGTCAAATTATCTCAAATATAAACCACTAACTCCACCACATGACCGTAATCAAATTTTGAAGTAATCCAAATAAATAGATTTTAGACAGCTTACAAATACTGAACTTTAAACCATATAAAATGGCAAGTATATAAACACTTTGTTTATCTGTATTGGAATATGTGCAATGTAGAAAATGCACAAAGTAATTCTCTCAGGCTGCTATCACTACCTTGGGTAAATCTTGACTCCATTTTGATTCCCTAATAATCAACAGTTTGATCTCAACTGCTGAACAGAAAAAACACACCACCAATAAGTTTCCTTTAAAATGGCTGTTTTTTAGCGCTCATATTGCCAGAACACTACATAAATAAGATTCCCAAATGGGTCACTAGCCCTACAGCACACCAAATGTCAAGTAAATCCAGCTAAGCACATCAATTCTAGATAACTTAGAATATGAAACCATTAAATAGATGTCTTAATGCAAATGAAATTAAAATAAGGCTGGCACACCAAGAATACCACAAGAATAGAAAACAAAAGTTATACTTTGATGAACCATACATTTGCCCGCTTACGATTTAAACCTTTCTTAACTCTGCAGCAGTTGTAATAATCAGCTTAAATGAACAGTAAATTTAGGATTAGAATGTGTTGTCTTCCATATACGATAAAATGTGCATTTCTCTGTACATTAGATGAAAAAATACCTACCTTCGGCTTGTGATGCTGGTGATCTTGCCCACTTCTTAATGCAGTTCAGATGAAACACATGGTAACAATTCTGACAGCTCCACACAGGCGCTATTGTGCGGATCACCTCACAGCATACCATACACTCATATTTCTCTGTGGTCAGCTGTTCTATCAAAGAGCCTGAAACAAAAATTAAATACTTATACACCTAAACTAATCAAGGCAATACACACAAGTTACACACTCTAAAAATGGCACCAAAATAGGCTACATTTTAAATGCAATTTTAGAATATTTTTTCCTGTGGATACATGCAAAGTATTTTTGCGTTAGAAAAACAGGAAAGATTCCAATCCAAAAATTTGATACAAATTCCCTGCTTTTGTATGTGTTAGGCTTTTAAGGTGTTTCCTTTAAACCTATTAGGGATTCTTCTCTGGCAGATGAAAAAAATGTACCAGTCATTTGTTCCAGCTACCTGAAGTGGAGGAATTTAGTTATTCAACTATTGACAAAGAACACTGTAAAATGTACATTGTTATACAAAGCTCAATCTAAATCAAATGTAAAAAGTCCTGTGCCTGTGCATTTTTTACAGAATGATACAGTACTGGGAACATGCAGAAGTCTCCATTAGAAATGTCAGATAGAGTGTAACTGAATAGTCATGTAATCACATCAAATTTTAGTGGTTACACAGCTATTAGATAGACCCTGGGCATGCTGCCTGTAACAGAGACCAGCTGATACTCCACTGACAACAATAAACACTTTCGAACTAGCTATTTTAGGAGCCACATTCAACTATTCCAGGCCAGAGGGATGGTTGCCCACTACAAGGGTTCCTTATTATGGCAAAGTAACATCAAACAAGCATGAAAACAAAGAGGGAAGTGCACCTTAAATATAAGGAGCAAGAAACTACAAACAAATGGTGAGGAAAATTAGAAAATACATTGAGATGTGTATATATAGTTAGGGCAGCCAAACAACATAAAAATGGGAATATTGAGTCACACCAAAGGTCCATCTAACCCAATACAGGCAGTCCCCGGGTTACGTACAAGATAGGGACTGTAGATTTGTTCTTAAGTTGAATCTGTATGTATGTCGGAACTGGCATCCAGATTCAGCAGCTGCTGAAACTGACCAGCGGCTGACTACAGGAAGCCCGAGGCAGAGTTGCTCTGCCCCAGGCTCCCTGGAATCAGCTGCTGATCAGTTTCAGCAGCAGCTGACTTGGGGACGCCTGGGTTTCTTAAGTTGAATCTGTATGTAAGTCAGAACTGG